TTCCCTCAGCCCTGGAACACATGTATAGATGCCCTTATAGACCAGAACTGTCCAACATCTAAGCAGGTGGAGGCTACACACCCCATGGGTTGCACCAGTGGGGGCTGCATGACACAGGTGCTCCCTTTTACTTTTCATTCCATCCAGGAAGAGCACACACCAACTGCTGAAACTTCCTTAGCCTGATGAAGGGTTTTTGAACCTGAAAGCTTGCTTAATAACTTTTCTCCAACTATTTGGGTTGGTCTAATAAAAGATATCAAATTCACCCAAGGAACCTTGTCTGCCTATGTCCTTAGACCAACACGGCTACAACCTAAACCCCTGCACAGGTGCTCCCCAGCGCTTCACCATGCGTGCAAGCAGGTGCCACTCATTCTGTGTGCACATGGGCAGGCAGATGCCTCCTAACTCCACTGTACTGCACTGTACTGCACTCCCTTATTGCATTGCATCATGTGGGTGCTCTGGGCCTCTGCCTCCACTGGCATTGTGGCCTGTGCCCCTCTGTTGTTGTGTCCCACTGCATGGTCCCAACCCCTGGGGTGCAGCATGCAGCCCCAATCCTCCAGCTGCTACTGCCTCCAGAGTGATACAGGCAGTAGCAACCAAATGGGAGTCTGAAGAAGGAGCTGTATATTAACCCCTTGTGGGCCGCAGGCTGCCATTTGGACAGTCTTGCTATAGATTAACAGAATCAGAAATGCATAAGCCTTTGTAAGCAACAGGTCATTTTGTCAGATGCTATGAAAGGACATGCAGGGTGCACATGAATGCACACACATGGTTTGCGGCACTACAAACCACATGAACCGCACATGCACATGTTTGCTAGGCTGCTAATTAGCAGCATGGTGGCTTTTTTGACTTGGGGAGATCCTGGTGTCAAAAAAACCACAGAAGAAAAAAGCAGGGCAGCATATGTGGATTCAGTGTGCACTCCCCAAAACCAGGGCCTGGCTGGCCAGATCCATGCTCCAGTTGCCAGCCAGGCTCCACACAACTATATTGCCACTGCTGCAGCCCTAGGAGGTCCCCAGGCCCCCAGGTAAGGCTCCTGGGTCCAGCCCAGGTGCTGGTCCCAGCATTCCCCTAATCCACATGGGGTAATCTGCTGCATGCCAGTGTACGCATGCAGGGGCATGCCTGGGGACTGCAATCAGTAGCACAAATATGTGTCATTGCTATTTGTCCCCGGGAAAATGCATGTTCTGCTTGTGGGGACATGCCTGCCGTGAGCAGGGTCCTAGCTGTTAAAGAAGCAAAAGATTGCTTCTTAGATATTCATATCCAGTTGCCTGCATAAAGAAGCTAGTACTCAAAATACCAAATGCTTATTGGCTGCAGTATGAAGGTATCCCTAAATTAGAATTAGAACATAGTGTTGGAGAATGAGGAGGACCTCCTTAGGAGTTTGCAGATAGGTTGCTCTGTGTGTGTGTCAGATAGATTCTAGGTTAATTTGGTTAGTTCCATTTCTAGTTTGGAGGAAATCTGATCCTTTCTACAAGTTCAGAAGTTGCGGTTTTGGGAGGAATTTCATTTTAATTCTCATTTTCTCCAAACTGTTTAGTCTATTTTTGCTAACTAGTTTTCTGTGGCTTTTAGTGTATGTGCATGTTGTGTGATGAACACATGTTCACCACACTCCTCTTCTTGCTAACTTTGTTACCTGTTTCATTAACAAGCTGAGCAGGAGCACTGTCATGACCTTGTACTCTCTCCAGCTGGGACTCCTTTCTCTGCATTTTTGGTTTCTGTCTACGGAGGTATTTCTTTAACCTGATGTGCATATGATTGGCCCTTGGTAGGCAGGAATAAAACAACACTGAGTGCCTTTGAAAAGCATGTCCTGGTTTTCTATCTGTAGCTCTTAATATCTTTCTGTTCTTCCAGTTTAGATCCATCTGCTCTTGGTCTGAAATTGCAAGAAGTGTGTGAGAGATGAATTTCTGATGATAAAGAAAAGTCCTTTGTTTGACCTCTTTATCCTTACTGCTGATTCTCCACACTTGTTTATTTTTGTGGATCTGTTTCTCGTCTCATATTTCCAGCTATTGACTCTCTTGAAAACATAGGCTGATTGTGCATCAGAACTATTTTGTAAGTGCAGGTCATTGTGATTTCATGTCAAAGTTCTTGCCTCCTGCATAAATAATCTTATTTCTAAACTTACTATTGGACTCAGCTTGATGAGCCTGTAGATAAGTGCTTTGGCTGACTTTCAAAACTATTATAGTTTGGGTATCATTAAATGGTTAGGAGAAAAATCTAGCAGAGGCTAAAGAAATGAGCAGAGGGAGTATGCCAGGAATTCCACTTTTTAATCTTGGATCTGCCATCAATGTGAGCTTGGGCAACTCACTTAAGATCTCGTTTTTTTTACCTCTAACAAAAGTACAGAAAGAAAGCATGGAAGTGAAAAGACAAGGAGTTCCGTCCTCCAACTTGTGTTCACGTACAGAAGTCAATATGATCACTTAGGAAAGACCCCAGTTAGTAATTCCTATCTTGCAGGAAGGAAGAGGATTTTCAGCTGGTTCTCCTGAGTTTTTTTCACTTTGCAGCACTGACCCAAATGGCAAGAGAAAAATGATTTTTGACAACCTCAGCAGACATGAACCTGAACACATCCAGAGAGATGGATGGCCTGCTGATTGAGATTATATTTGTACACAATCACTTCTAAGAGTGGAAGACACTTTCAAATTATTTTTGCACTATTTATACACACCTACTCTCCTGAAGCATATTTCAAGCAGTACATTGGTTAAAATGGCTGGGTTAGTTTCCAGAGTTTTTCTTGGAATACTGTTCATTGTCTGGTTTCATTCAACAAAACCTGTTGCCACAGGGCCCCGAGACTTTACCTGGAACATTCCAAATCTCTTCATAAGGTTTCAACTACTGCAAGATATCTCACTCATTCTCATGA